ATGAATTTAAATATTTTGGATGATTTTCTAAAAACATGGACTACAAAAGAGGATCAAATTATTTTTTTAGTCCATCCTCCTACTGAAGCCTTAATATTAAAAAAGATAGATCCTAAAACGGGTTCCAAATTGGAAACCAAGGCTTATAATCAACCATCTTCTGTTGATAAAGAATGTACTTTTATTATCAAAAAATATATCAACAAAATTTATAGACAGCATAATTATACAAATGTATGTCTACAAATTGTAGGCTCTTAATTGGGAAGAATTAAAACTGGTATGGATACAGTATTAAATAATCTTAATACTAAATTCATAACAATCAAACCCACACAAGAGCATAATTTGACTAAAGTTGCTATTCAACCTCCATGACACATCCAAAGAATAATGAAGAATTTTTAACTCTTCTTACTCAATAAATTCAGGGATTAAAACTCTTTATCCCATGATAAATCTGAACCTGTGTCAAATAATGATGAATTTTCATTTCCTAATATTGAGGATTTTCAAACTTCCTTTTCCAAGATGCCTGAATTCAACAAGATTACATATGATAAAAAAAGTCCACTCGAATAGTGCTCCATCTCCGAGTACATATTATTATCCTAGGCCTACCCCTTAAAATATCTTATTTGAAGAGGAATTTCTTCATACACAGAAATCTTTTCATAGGAAAACCATTTATGAATGGAACATAGATGGTAGATCTGACTATCAAATCTATAAAGTCATACATCAAATACTGATGTATAGTACAATAAGTAAAAATAATCAGAATAATGATCCACATGTTGCCAAGTTTATTGTTTGTGATTTTACAAGAATCCTTAAAGGATGGTGGGATAATGTTCTCACTCGTGCTCAGAAAAACAAAAAAGATTCAGCAATTAAAATTGTTAAGGATGAAAGTACTCAACAAAAAGGCCCTCAGCCTGATGTTGTTTATGCTCTCATCACTACTATCGTTCAACACTTTGTAGGACCAGATGATGCTAATAGTGAACGAAATAGAGAATTACTGCAAAATTTGTGTTGCCCATCTTTAACCTACTTTAGGTGGTAAAGTCCTCCATGACTTCCTACTTGAGGCATCGGTCACAACATTGGCCTTTCCCGGGTGATATTGCAACTCAAAGTCGTAGTCCTCCAAAAACTCCACCCATCCGCGCTACCTCAAGTTCAAGTCCTTCTGTGTGAAGAGGTACTTGAGACTTATGATCAGAGAAAATCTCAAACTTCTCCCCGTACAAGCAATGTCTCCACTCCTTCAGAGCAAAGATCACTGCTGCTAACTCCAAATCATGTGCCGGATAATTCAACTCGTGTTTCTTTAATTGTCTAGATCGATAAGAAACTACCCGCTCTGTCTGCATCAGAATGCAACCCAAACCTTTGAGCAAAGTATCACAAAAGATCACATAACCCAAACCACGTTCAGGTATGATCAGAACTGGAGTCGATGTCAACCTGACTTTCAACTTCTGCAATACTACATCACAAGGCTCATTCCATGTGAACTTGACCCCCTTGTGGGTAAGTCGAGCCATGGGTGCCGCTAAACGAGAAAAATCTCTGACAAATCTCCGATAATAACCGGCTAGGTCAAGAAAACTCTGAATCTCGAACACACTCTTCGGACGTCCCCAATCCATTATTGAATCGATCTTCGACGGATCAACTAAAACACCGCCTCCTAAACAACTTTTCCAAGGAACTTCAGCTCAAATAGCCAAAACTCGCATTTCTCATACTTGGCATATAACCGGTTATCCCTAAGGATCTGTAAAACCATTCTTAAGATACTCATGCTCTTCTTTCGAAGATGAGTACACGATAATGTTATCAACAAACACCTTCACAAACTCATCAAGATAGGCACTAAATACACGATTCATCCAATCCATAAAGATGTTGGAGTATTAGTTAAACCAAATGGCATCGCTTGGAACTCATAATGGCCACGACATGTGCGGAAAGCGGTTTTAGAGATGTCCTCATCCTTAACCCTCAGCTGATAGTACCCCAAGCCCAAGTCAATCTTCGAAAAGCAAGTCACTCCCTTCAACTGATCAAACAAGTCATCTAACCTTGACAATGGACACCTATTCTTGATCGTAACTGATCGCTCTCCGTAAGGCGGTTCAATAATAAACCACAAAACGTAGCACAAAATTCAGTAGAAAATGGCTAAGTAAGGGTATCGATCCACGGAGATTGCTAGCTTATGGCAATCAAACTTCAAAGATTAATTTCGAGTTTGTAAAGTGTCACATTTGGTTTAAAGATTGGTTTGTTTGTTTGTCACTTAGCATATAATGAATTAAAAACAGAATTTTAAAATGAATTCAAAGATTGAATTAACAAATAGAGGAGGCTAGTGAATCGAATTCACCGAGATCTCATAAACATGTTACAATGCAATCAATTTGAGGAAAACAATTATATGTAACAATAATGTATAGAAGTATACAACAAGTACAACAATTTCCAAAAAAATCAAACAATTCAAAACTAAGCATAGCCCATATTTGGTTGGCATGACTCATCCACCTAAACTAAGTTGTGGTATGAGTCATCCTCCCTAGTCATGGCGTATCAAGGTTCTGAATTTGTAAATTTTAGCACATGAAAGTACATCATCTAGCAATCTACTTGACTACATTAATCTAAGAGTATAGCATGGTCCATCTTCCCTTACCATAATTTATCTAAAATCTTACGTGATATGCCTATAAAACCATTTCAAGAAATCAATCCTTATTGTCACTATAAGAATATCAAGAGTATAAATATGTAAATATGGTTCTAAGACAAGAATTGCATATAAAACATACTCATATATAATTCAGTTTAAATTATACATCAATTTAATATAAAAACACTAATTTCAATATGAATCTTCATCTTATTCATGAATCCATTACGTACAATGTTATTTCCCTAAATTAAAATACAAAGATTACATGGTTAATTAGTCAAGGATACCTCAATCCCCTAAGAGGGGATTTAGCTCATCATGGTGGTGGTTGAAGCTCCAAGAATTGAAGAAGAAGCCTCCATCTTTAGCTCCATAGCAGCCCCTCTCAAGAACACTCAAAAACCCTAGTTATTCCTCACTTTCTTTCTCCAAAATTGATACAAAATTTGAATCTCATGTCAATTCCTATATGAAAATAAAATGTACAGATACATATATTGCCCTCTCAGCCAGAATCAGTCAAAATCCTCCATAAAAATCGTACATTGAAGTTGGAGAAGAGAGAAAAATAACTGAAAATTCAAATTCCTCATTTACTTCGCATGTTGACGTCCGGACGCCAAGATGGGCGTCCAAACGCAGCTTGTTAGGCTGTGTGCCTTGCGCGCGCTAAGGTGCTTGTGTTGTAAGCTTCTAGCATGTGGCGTCCGGACGCAGATCTGGGCGTCCGGATGCAATTTTACTAGAATTCATCTTCTTTTGACTTTACAATTTCTGTTTACACAGGGCGTTCGGACGCCAACAATGCTCTTGGAGGCTGCGTCCAGACACTAGCCTTATTCTTCACTGGTTCCCTCGCTAGCTTATCAAGTTGACTTCCTTCTTTAGGAAGAGCTCGCTCAGGGGCTTAGAACCACTTTAGTTGATTCTAGAGCTCACCATGAACCACTTTTATTTAAATCCCGTAAATACTCACTTTTATTCTATTTTGCAGATAAACCCTAAAAATAGACAAAATACAACAAAACCTGTAAAATACACTTTATTCACATGCTAAATAGACTAAAACATGTAATTAAGAGCGTTTGAATATGCAATATTCGGCATTTATCACATCACCAAACTTACATTTTATTATTCCCTTAGCAAAATAGAAATAAAACATTTCCTCTTTCATGGGAGTGACGATTGCATTTAACATAGGCAATAAACCTTTTAAACCCTTAGGCATCCCTAGAGGACGAGTGAAGTTTCATGAGGATTTAACAAAAATGCTACCTACAAACATTAACCAAACTAGTGCATAAAGGCTCATTCTTAAAGTTAAAACATATTATATTGGGGAGAATTTTATAATGAAGACTACAAGAAGTATGTGAAACAATAACATCTCAAAACAATTTCCAACTTTCAGCATTCATGCATCAATGATATAGTCCACCTCCACAACTTTCAACACCACATCTATAATAGCATTAATCTCAAACTTTCAAAGGTGAACCAGAATATTTTGTTTATTTATTTATTATTATTATTATTTTTTCTATGCATACTACGCCTTTCATGGCACATATCATAACTTTCAAATCTTTACTCGTCTTTTGAAATAAATTTCCAAGGCATGAATTTAATTTGAATTTTTCTTAAATTTCGGAATGACCGTGCAATGCCTAAGTCCTTTGAGCTTTCTAACTTTCCCATGTAGCGAGCGTTAAGCTAACGACTCCCAAATCAAATGATCTTAGGGCGCTAAGTGTAAAAACACTCCAAATGGTGTAATGACTCAAGATTGCGACTACAAACTTAAACAGGCCCCATATGACATATTCCCCACTCGTCTTCCTCCCTTTTACGCAAACAATCAAATACTTAATGAGACATAAAGTCTGATTACTCGGTTGACAAGGTAAGAGAATATACAAATTTTTTTTTTTTTTTTTCAATTCAATGCCATTGAAATTTCTTTCAATTCCCATAACTTTCCCTCAACAAGTTCCAACAAAAAGAAATCATTTGCCTATCATTTATTTTATTTTCAAAAAAAAATTCTATTTTTTTTTGAAAACCAGATTGACAATGAACTAGACAACATTGCATGCATATAAGTAGTCACACCCCAAACTTAATCTATACATTATCCTTAATGTATAAAAACAAGAATAAACTGAAAATATAAAAAAATAGTGGAATAAAGCAACAGTACCAAGTGTTGAAACACACATGCTACGCATCCAATCCCATAGGAAATGCCAAGTCCCCAAACTTATACCTGATAATTTGTCAAAATAACACTAGGTACCAAGCATAAAAGCATATATATATCCAAACATCGATATAAATATGAAAAGTCGTAACATATTCTTACTCAAAACTGGGAAAAAGATCAAAATTCGTGCACATAAAACATGCACTCACATGTGTCATGCCAAACATGGCCAAAATAAAATATCCACCAAAACAAAGTACTAGCAAATAAAATATAAAGCAAAAAAGAATAAAAATGCTCAATCCTCCATCGGTGCAAATGAAGATGGACCCGCACCGCCACGATCACTGAGTGACTGAATCATGGCACGCAAAATCTAATCCTCCTCCATGGTATGCTGATGATATGTGTCAAGGGAGCCTCCAATAGCGTCAACCCGCAACTGAAAAGTGTCCATGCAAGTGCTCAAAGAATCGTAATCAGCCCGATCCATTAAGCAGTGCAAATCCCTAATATCTTTAGTTGCTCCACCCATACTAGAAGCACCATGCAATATATAAATAAAACAAGCATCGGATGATTTGACTAGGAGTATTAGAGTTTGTAGTCATCACAACCCCATCACCGGTCAGGTTTCCATGCACAAATCCATTGTTAAACAAAAAAAAAATCAGTCCTTGCTATGCTTTTTTTCCATCCACATTTGGAGATTTTCATCAAATCTATCAACCGTCAACACAGACCAAGTTTTTTTGGTCTATAAAATGGCAATCCAAAACAAAATCAGACTTTAACTGACCAATCTTGTGGAAATCCAAATGCTGCAATCTGATTGTCCAATTGGATTTTCATTAATAACATATAACCAATGGACAATCAGATTACAGCACTTATAGATTTCCACAAGATCAGTCATTTAAAGTCAAATTTTGTTTTGAATTGCCATTTTATAGACCAGAAAAACTTGCTCAGTTGACAAATTTGACGAAAGTCTCCACACACGAATGGAAAAGAAGCAATAAAAACCTAGCCGGTGATGGCTCCAAGTTGCTTCTTGTAGGTGCAGGTAAAGAGATCATCCAATACTTCTTTTATTTATATATGTATATAATGCATTATGCCTAGGTGATGCTTTTAGTATGGGTGGAACAACTAAACATATCAGAGATTTGCACTGCCTAATAGATCGTGTTTTAACTCAATTTGGTAGTTTTACGACATTGCCTACAGATTTGGCCTTCTTTATGAATTCTGTTAATGCAGTTACAGGTGAAATGAAGTTAGTCCAACAATATAAATATATATATATATATATATGGATTTTGAACAACACGTATTTCTAGAATCCAAGACAAAGAAATATTTTCATGAAGAAAATTTAAAAGTACTTAAAAACAGTTTAACAAAACTTATCCAAATTAAGCTGCCCCAATATTTCCTATCTTGGACCAATCTCATTAAGGGTGCTAATTATCCCTTTGAGAAGGGTAGTAATCCTTTTGCTGCTTCTACTGAGAGGTAAACTTAACAAGGCTAAAGTCATTAAATCAAGAATTTACCATGTTTACATGCGTAGTTGTTGCATTGTTGATTTGAAGTTATTGTATTTACGATTTAAAGTTGTTGCATTCACATATAGAAAAATGCTTGACATGAGAGGGAGAGACTTACAGCAATGAAGGGATCAAAACGGATGAGGGCATAACAAGTCCAGCTAATGCTATTGGCGAAAGAAGCTGAGAGAAAAAAGTGGCATCTAGTCCACACACTTTGTCATAATCACCAACTTCTGCAGCACAAGTTGTATTGCATTAAATTAAGGGTCTAGAAATTTTGTATAAGATGGTACATGAATTATGTTAAAGCCATTCTACAAGAAAGTCCATAACTGCACCTTATATAAGCAGCTATATTACTCCCAAAATATAATGAATGTTATATGCATATATATATATATAGATCATGTATGTCCTTATATATATGTATATATATACACACACACAAGGGAAATGCATGCAATTAATTAAATAATTTAATGGAGGCATGAAGGTAGGGAGGGAGATTAATTAATTATTACGTACGTACCATGACAGATAATGGTGAAGCATAGACCAAAATGTTAGCCAACACACAAATGGTTCCGATAAATGAGAACTATTTTTCCAGATAATTTACTCCAACATGGATATTTCTATTTATCTCCACCAGCTTTACCAACATGGAAAATAATGCATAATCACAACAATAGTTACAAAAATGAAAAGGGAAGAAGAAAAAAAACTGAATCAAAACACAAAAGTCAACAAAATTGAATTAAATTTGTAGATATGAAGAGATAACAAATACATACAATGGAGACAGATTTGTTGTCAGGGTACTTCTCCTTGAAAGTCTTCCTAAACTCCTCCCTAAATTCACCAAAATTGAAAGAAAACATTTTTTAAAACGCCAAAAAAATAAAATTATAAACGAATCGATTGATTGAATGAAACAGTAATGATGTAATATTGAAACACAAAAAATATATACAGAAATGATACATACATGAAAACGAAGAAGGCACTCGCAGGCCTCTTGGGCTTGTTGGGATCCTTCGCGGCCTTCCCTTTCTTGGCCCGAGTTCCTTCCGGATTCAGTTCAAGCAGTTGCTCGTATTCATTGTCTTCTTGCTAAAGTATAAGGAAATAAAGAGAGGAAGAAGGATTCTCTTATTAGAAACGCGGAGACAGAACAACCGCCTTTTTTTTCTTACCCCCAAACAGCTCTTTGATTCAAATTATCTTGGTGAAGATCATCCTGATCTCGCTGTCAGCTGTCTAAATTCATTCAAGCTATTGATCCAGCGACAATGCTACAAGCATTCTGCCAAGATTCACGTAGATGCGCTTAACGAAAGGGAACTCTCTAGACTCATGAATCATTTCCTTTCGAAGCTTACTTTTCTTTCTAATGGCAGAAGATTTGAAGGTTCTGAAGTTTCGGAGAGAATCTTCCCAGCCGGGATAGAAATGTACCTCGGCAGATCAACAATCCAAAGCGCTTCATGCCGGCCTTTTCGCTCGGTGCTCCTCTCTTCTTCACCGACAACCTAAGAAGAAGTCCAGAAAAATACAAAGCGCAATCAGCCTTCGTCGTCGATTCCCACTGGCACGCCGTTAGATATATACACACATACATAGAATATATATATATATATATATATATATATATATATCACAGATCTGTAACACCATAGCATCAACATATCACCAAAAACGAATGAAAACAAAAACTCACTTGCTATCAGTTTTTTTCGTTTCAGCCTTCGACCTGCCTCCTTTCACGGCGAATCCCGCAGGGAAAAGACGAAAACCGGTGAGAATCAGTCGAAAACGGTGAGAATCGGTGCGAACTCAGTCCAACTTAGCGCCGCTTGGGGCTTGAAAACGTACCTTCTAGGGTTATAGAGATAGAGAGAGAGTATAGAGAGAGAGTAAATATCTATAGTTATAGAAACAGAGAGAGAGAGTACAGAGTATAAATGTTTGTCGGTGTGAGGGAGAGGGGGGTGTGGCAGATGGAGATAAGTAGGGGCTTTGGGGGATATTAAACTTGAATTGACGAATCGATTCAAGTCCGGGTTTGGGCGGGATTTCAAAATGTCTTTTGCCACGTCATCGATCCGTGTCCTTTGATTCTATTGGTTGTTTACTATTTCTGTGAGATGTGAATTTGGAGCATTGTCGTCTCTCTTTGTGCTTTCCTTTGTGTTTCTTCGAAGTCTTTGCCCATGGGTTCTTTCGTGCTAGTCAAACAGTACGACAACGTGTCCCTGTCGGGAGGACACTACTCTTTAAGCTTTGACCCACACATGTTATGCTTCACACGTAGTAGGTAAATGTTGTTATTTACTTAGATTTTTTAATAAATTAAATGCATTTATATTAAGCAAATATGAATAAATGTACTTTCCAGGAAAAAAAAATATATGAATAAATGTCAATCACTTACCAAATAAATAAAAATAATGTAAAATTTTAAGTAGGAGAGATTTATTTATAATTGAACACTTAAAATTCACATAAGTATTAAAAAAAATTAAATATATGACCAGCACTTAAAATTCAAACATATTTGTGTAATCCTCTTGTTTGGATCAGTACTGTGAGTGACATAGATGGGATGTTGGTTGTTTTTTTTTTTTTTTTTTTTTTTTTCGGAAGTTAAGATGTATTGTATATATTGAAGTATAAGTATACAAAGGCCAAGGCCCATAACAATGAACAAAACAAAGGACTTATCAGAAAGTCCAACCCAAAACAGGGAAGCAAACAAGCCCAACCCACAGTCTATGAAACCCTAGACTAGTCTTCTCTCTACCGACAGTGCATCCAGTGTACGAGGCGAAGCCTCTATCGTTCAATCTGGCTCTAGTGGAGGCCTGATGAAAGCCTGGGGAAGATCCCAATCAAGAACTAGTCTCCTTGCGATGATTGAGTGACATAGATGATTGTTACATGGATGTTCCACCCTGTAGGTGCAGAATTCCGCTCAACCAATAATGATTAAGAAAAATAAAACAACTCACTCAATCAATAGTAAAAATAAACAAGAACAATATCTGTCGAAGCGTAGAATTGCTTGATCCTTTTATTGGAGGTCTGGGCCTCTATTTATACACAAAAGATTGGTTAAATTATGGTAGGACTCGCATTGCTTGTCCTCCAATTCTTTCCCTATAGAAATTATTTACAAATAGAGCTCCTTCCTTTGTATAATTTTCCTTGTGTAGTAGTTTCTCTCTTTGCTGTATCCTTCTTTTAATAGGACTAATTTCCTTTCAATGGATTTGGCCCATAAGTAACCTGATCCATGTGACATTGCTAACGGGCTTGATCTCTTGTTTCGGGCTTGAGCAATGCTACAGAGATCAATTAGCTGTGACCTTGGGCTAGTGTCTTATGATTTTGGGCTGTCAACGAGCTTGGACTGGGCTTTGAGAAAGATGGGCCTCTTACATTTGTGATGGGTATTTATATTGCGATGACGTGTACAGTTCTCATTGGAGGGAGATTTTTCCCTCCACACTTTGCCCCCAATTCCCTCTTTAATTGGATTGCGGCTCCTATTAAAAAGGGAATTGAAGTTGCACGGTTGTCTATTTTGCAAAAAGACGGTTCGAAGATTGCCCATTGCCATTCTGCCTTGAGAGATTCCGTAAGGGTTACTTTTGCTCTCACTGCATTTCTTGCGTTCTTCATTCCATCGTCTTATCAGGTTAGTTCTTCATCTTTTTCTCTTCGATCTTTCATTATGAGTATTTCATCTACTCCCGAACGTATAGACATTGGGGATTCTGAATCCACACCTTCATCTTCCCCCGTTCGCATTAGGGCTCCCCCTCCTAAGGTTTCTACAGATCGTCTTTCATTGAATCAATTAGGTACTTCCCCCCTTCCAGCCGAGACATCCACCTCAGGCTCTGAAAATGTTCTAACTCATGAAGAGAGGAAAGCAATCATCTCTATTCGCCGTATCAAGTTCTCTATTGCTTCGGTAATGGAAGAATTTGATATTCCTGAGGGAGTAGAAATTGCAGAATATCCCGAGGGTGCCGATTTTACCTCCGGCGAGGGAATTGAAGAGAGTGAGTTGCTTCTTTCGGTAGGGCATCTTAGCGCCCTCCGGTTCCCTCTTCACCACTTCTATCATTTAGTTTTCAACAAGTTAGGTTTTGCCCCCCTTCAGGTAAATCCTATTTTCTTTCGCATCCTTTCGGCACTGTTGGTGCGCCGGAAATTAGAGGCTCTGGATTTGACCTTTGCCGACCTTCTGCTTACTTATAATATATCTAAGCATGGGACCGAGCCTGGCCGCTTCTTTTTTACCTCTCCCCTTCATCAGAGGATATGCACGAACCTTCCTTCATCCGAGAAGAAGTGGAAAGAAATGATGGTTATAGTTAAAGGAAAATGGTTCGTGCCCCAATCAATTACGCTCCCCATCCCGCGCAAGTTCGGGAAATTAGGTATAGAATACTTAACCTCCCTTCATACCAAGTGTTCTGGCTGTTTTCCTTGCCAAGTCTTAATGTTTCACCGTACTTATGAGTTCCTTGGTGTTTTTTCAGCTACATTCCCATCCTCCGCAGCAAGGAATAGACTTTCTTTTCTCGAGGAACGAGTCTGGAGTGACCCCTCGCCTATCGAGGACCTGCTAACTTCTTCAAACCTCAAGGATATTGCCTCCAGTGCTATTGCTGCAGACCTCATGGATCTGTCACTACCATCCTTTGATAGTTTCCCCATGACTGAGGAGGAGATACGGAGGGCTGAGGCTTTAAAAAAGAAAGCCGAAGATGCCCAACCCTTGGTCGTTATTAGGTCTACTGAGGGTGAGGTGGAGGCTGAGGAACCACCAATGAAGAAATCTTGCCTCAACCCCCCATCCTCTGGCAAGGGCAAGGTCCCTTCTAAAAGCAGAGGGAAAAAGGCTGGAAAGGCCAAACCTGAAGATGAAGTCAGGGCATTTATTCTGGCTGAAACTGGGGCTCCTTGGACTCCTTCCTTCACTAGGGCTGACAAGTCAGTCCTGCATTCAGGGGATTCTGTGATCACAGACCCTTCAGTTGCACTGGCTGTGGCTCGAGGGATGTGGCTCCCAAAGGACGAGGAAGCCATCAGCCAAGTGGGGCTGGAACAACTACTCCCCTCTGCCCCGGTCCGGGCCATAGCGGTTCGTATTGCTCCTTCAGAATTATGTTACTCTTGTTTACTTATGTTTCCATTTATGCTCATATTTGTTCCTCTGTTATACAGAGTCTATACCACACCATGGCCCTCTGCGCCACTGCTGAAGCCCAATCCCTCTCCATCAAGAAGCTGGAGAAGGACCTTGACAATGCAGAGAAGAAAGCCACCACTGCCTCTACCAATCTGAAGATAGCTACTGAAGCGAAGGATGTGTATAAGAGGCAGTTGGCTGCCTCTGAGGCTAAGGTGGATTCTCTTCAGGCCGAAATTCAACGCCTGACCGAGGCTCTTACTACTTGCTTCAAGGTGGGGAAGCACATGCAGGGGTGTTACTCCTGTCTGGCACACCTAGCTAGTGCTAAAGCGTTCCGGTCTGGCTATAATCAGGGCTCAGGCCCTAGGACGATGGATCCGGACGCTTTTGACAAGCAGGTGGGGGTGCACTTCCCATATGATGAAGGGCCACAGGCTTTGGAAGCTGAAATCCGCTTTGCCGAGATGGTGAAGGCGCACCTGAAGGGTACTCCTAGCTCTTCTGCCCCTGCGGCTTCAATTCCTCCTACCTCAAGTCCTACTGTAGTGGATGCTTTTGAATCTACTCCCTTCGATCCAAAGAGGAAGTAGAACCACGTACTTTTTTATTTTTTTTTTTATTTTTTTTTTATTGACAGTATGTTTGGGATAATAAATATAATTTTTGTTTTAGGCTTTCAATACCTGATTTGTTTTTGCTGTATGCTTTTGATATTGTTCATACTTTTCTGACTGGTAATGTGTTTATGACAAACAACACACATTGTCTTTATGCTTCGGACTTATGCTATCCGAGAAAAAGCAAGGATGGTGGGAAGAAGGAGATCCTTTTAACAGTTTAATTGATATCTCAAGATGATTCATATGGACAATGATCTAACTGTTAAATGAGCTCTTCTTGCCTTTGACTTGCCTGCAGTAGGCGTATACATACTCTTTCTTTCTCGTGTGTTCCTAATGTGGGGTGGATCATGATGAACTTATGATATATCCACATCCACAGGGTATTAAACACTTGGAGTCCGGAGGAAAAAGTTCTGATCCGGCCACCAGAAGTCTGAAGCGAATTGTTCCTCGGCACTGAGTGTGGAGGAATATGACCTCCCTGCCATCTGGGGATAAACACCTCATTACTTGATGAAGGGTAGAGGGGACTCCGTTCATACGATGGATCCAACCTCTCCCCATAATGAGGTTATAAGATGGATGAATTTCCGTCACGACAAAATTCTCCTTTAGAGTCCTCTTTGCTGCAGTAACTGATAGATCGATCACCCCAAGCGGATTCACCTTAGTACCATCAAACCCCATTAGGGGGCTAGAAGTTGGCCTGATGGACGATGGTGAAACCCCCAGCTGATCGAAGGCTGCTTTTGTAATGATGTTGGCGCTACTTCCCGGATCTATCAGCACCCTCCTGATCATATAATTCGCTACTAGGAGGCTAATGACCAAGGGATCCTCATGCGGACGCTGGACTCTAGACAGATCATTGTTACCGAATCCAATGTTGATGCTGCCTGGTGCAACCGTGTTTACCGAAGACAATCTTCGTAACTTATGAGCCTCTCTCAGCCTGGATCTGTACAACTCTTTAGACTCTTCATCATCCTCTGACCTTCCGTGTATGGCATGGATAACCTTTACCTGACCGCCCTCTACCCGTCGAGGGTTAACCTCCCGAGGTTTTACGTACTCCTTCATGGCGAGATACTCCCCCAACTCTCCTCTCGCTATCATGCTTTCTACCTGTCGCTGAAGGGACCTGCAGTCATTGGTAGTA